GTGAGGTGGTGCAGGCTCCCACCCTGGGGGTTTTTAAGAGGAGGTTGGATGACCACCTTATTGGGGTCATTTGACCCCAGTGCTCTTCCTGCCATGGCAGGGGGTTGGACTAGATGATCTGCTCAGGTCCCTTCCGACCCTAGAAACTATGAAACTATTGGATCAACTCTTAGTGGGGAAAGGTGCAAGGATAAGGGTGCAAAGTGTCCTTCCTTTGGGTGTAGACAGACAGACAGACATGCTATGCTATGCTAAGCTGTAGATATGCACATATAGAAGTTCCAATACCAACCTGTGCAGTAGGATTAATATCCATGTACTGATGGCACTGTTCACAGTGATGAAATGTATTGTAAGCTGCATATTTGGTCAACATCATGGACACTGTCTCTCTTTTTCTGGGCTCCTCAATTTTAGTTTCTTTATTGTTTTCTGCAAACCAAGATGATAAACAATGGATTTTTTAGATCACTGGTACACTTGCAAGTGGGGTGTAATTTGAATAACTATTTTAAAGAAAACCAAGCACATCAGCAGTATTTTGTAAACCTCACCTCAGCTGTACAGCTAGTCACCCCCTATGTGAACCTCTAATTCTTAGCAAGAAATATAAAAACATGTACTGACCTTGTTTTACTCTTGATAGTTGTTCTGTATACACTGGACTTATGGAACTGTATTTGGGGTCATGCACACTCAGGTCAAAGGTCATTTTACTGAAGATTTCAATATCAGGCCAGTGATCATTGTTAGACTGAGTGACTTCACTACTTTCTGCATGATCTGTGCAAGTAAAAAACATACATTTGGTGCAAGCAATGGAAAAGAACAGGCCAAATGGGTTTCCTTGGCATTTGTAAGCCAACAAATACACAGAAACAAAAATAAAAGTTGAACTCTATGGCAAACATACAAACTGGAACTGGCATGAGAAATCATATGACGCCATTTGAAAGAAATGAAAATTCCTTAGAAAGGGAAGAACCAAAGGAGCAGTCTCAATAGCTGAGCTTCCATTTTATTTACCTGTCAGTATTTGGAAGGTGCCCATCACTAAAAGCTCTAGGCACTGGATAAAATTAACTAGTGATGCAGTCAATTCTCCATCTCACCTTCCATCTTTTTCATCTCATGTCATTAAGGATTAATCATCCCTGTAACAGCTTCAAACTAAAGAGTTACATTTTAACTCTATTACACCAGTCTTTGAGCATAATTATACATTAGTTTGTTCAATGGATAGAAGATAACCACCCTTTTTCAGAGCTGGTGCCTTGGTTGTAGGGCTCACGTGTTAGGAGATGTACACAACTCAATTGTAATGGTTTGTGACTCCATAAAGAGGTATACCTGGTAATGGATTTGTATTCCTTGATAATAAGCAGATCTTACCCAGAGGTTTCATCCCCAACTGACAATTTTTAAGTTTAAGCCATAACAGAAGCTTCCACAGAAATTGGTAGCTAATTTATAATGAGCTTATAACTACTACCCAAACTGCAAAGTGAAACAAACCTTTTTAAATTCATTTTGTTGGCTTAAATGAGGACAGAGCCAATATTGGGGAAAGAAAAATATATGAAAGCCAGGAAGAGAGGACAAAAAGAGACAGACTGCATCTGCATGAATTTTACTGCCTTCATTTGCCTTCCCAGTACTGCCTAGATATAGTATTTCTTCACTTAAAAGTGTTCCACTGGTCCATGGATAATTGCATCTAGCCCCCTAAAAAGGAAGAATGTATTTAAAAACCTCCTGAGAATCTAGCTACACATTGACATGTTAATGATATGTCATTTAACATACAAGACGTTAATTTTAATTTACAAAATGATTTTATTCAGTCAAAAACTTTACTTTTATTTTATTAGAGCTCATTTCTGCTTGAGGTACAACGAAATACTTCTTCATACTTACCGCAGTTAATTTCTTCTTCATCATATACATCAACCTCCAGTAACCTGATCAGCATGCGAAAGAGAATCCTGAGGAACTGCAAGTATGAGCCAGTCTTTCCCACCTAAACCGAAGGAGGAAAAACACAGAAAATTGACTATAAAAATACAGTTACAGCTAACCTATTTGGGTTTTGTCCTCTTATTTTGCTTTCCAGTCCTGCCTGAATAATGTCTATATATGGTAAGAGTACACTATTAATAAATACTGCTCTCAGTTACACAATCGCACCAACTTCAGTGGGATGTCACCATTAGAACTGGTTGAAAATCAGGCCCAGCACCTACAAGTTGTTTTATATCAGTGTCTTGCAGAAGTTAATCTGCTCTCTCCAGATCTGTTTAAGACAGGAATGTGAACCAGGCCTGGCACAGAACCATCTCCTTTAGAGCAGGGGGCTCCTGAAATGCAGCCTGCAAAGCTTGTGAACGTAGCCCACAAAAGGTGGCTATCCTTGACAGGGGCAGCTCATGGGTGAGGTTCTAGCCATTGACCATTCATGAATAAGTGCCTGACAAGCCTTAGCAACAGCCCAACTGTTCTCCTTGCTATATATTTGTATGCGAGGCATATCAGGTGCCTACAGATGTGCTGCGGGGCTGCTCCAATGCACTGTAATCCCAGCATGTCAGAGCAGACCCAATCAAGACTGCTGGAGTGTGGTAATTACCAGGGCTGTGCAAAACAGCACTGTTTCATTTTGACGGGACAGTGTTTCATTTCAAGTTTCATTTCATTTCAAAACCACTGTTCTGTTTCGTTTCGTCAAAACTGTCTTGCTGTTTAGACGTTTCACCCACAGGTTATAATGGGGAACCACAAAACTGCCCATAATTTTGTCAGTTCTTGCCTAATTTGGATGGAACTTGCAGGGACGGTAGCTCCTTCTGAGGCCACAAAGCCTGCCAAGTATCAAGGACAGATGCATGGGGTTTCTGGGAAACTGCACCTCAAATTCTTGAAAGTAAAACTCGCGTCACGTGTGTGTTAAGGCACAGCAGGGTGAAAACTGCAGGGATGGTAGCCCCTGCTGAGGTCATGAAACCTGCCAAGTTTCAAGGAGATAGGTCCAGGAGTTTCTGGGAAACTGCATCTCAAGCTGCTGACAAGCAAAACTCATGACATGGGTGACAGAAAGCAGGCCAGTTCAAACAATGCTGCCTTTTATGCTGTTTTTTCCATCCCTTCCCCAGAGCACTGGGATTGGAAGGGACCTCAGGGAGGGCCAACAGTCACTGGCCAGCCACACAGTCAGTATGAGAGCACTCCTTCCCCTCTCCTCCCCCTCCTTACTTTCTGTTTCCCTGCAGGCAAGCCCTGCTTGAATTTTGAAACTCAAAACATTTCAGAACATTTCAACTGCCCTCATTTCGTTTCAAGGCGGTTTTGAAGCCCTTAGTTTCATTTCGATTTTGCTGTTTTGAGCTCAAAACGAAGTGGAAACAGCATCGAAACAGAACAGCCCTAGTACTTACTGTGCTCCAGCCAGGCTCTGAATCTCATGTACTAGCATCCCCATGCTTCAAAATGGTGGCTGGGGCACTTGAACTAAAGCTTGTTGAATGAGCTTTAGTTCAAGCACTCCTGCCACCATTTTGAAGTGTGGGGATGCTAATATAAGAGATGCTACGGCACTTTAATTAGAGCAGCTGTTGGAGCCACTCTAATTAAAATGCCCCCACCCCCGGAGCACATCTAAAAATGCGCATTATGTTACACCAATTGAACATAAAAGGACTGCACTGTAAGTTCATTTTGTTATGTGGCCGCAAACATGACAACCCACACATTAAGTGGCTTTTCATGAACCAACTAGGGAACACTTTTTTTTAGATGGGTATCAATTCTAGAAGCATCATACCACAAAGTGTGGCTTTAAACAAACCCAGTAAACAATGCCATTTGTGTCTTGCCATGTGCCTTGAAAAGAAAAAAAAATGTTCTCTGTTTGTAGCTACCTTTTGGTCCACCTCTTCTGCCCTCATGCTCTACTGTGAGGAAAACTCTCATACCTGAGGGGGTCCTGTCAGAAGCAGTCGTCGTGGGTGGAAATTCCTGGAACCAGCAGTTTCACCCTGATTGCTGTAATCTGCATGATGTTGCCTGGCTGTGGTCCACTGCCTGTAGTAGAGAGACTGCTCATCACTATTCATGTCCTTGTGAAGCACAGACCTCAAAGAGTTCAGCCAAGACACGTCAGCATGAGGCAAAAGAGAAGAGGAGGAAGGCAAGTGCCCATTTTTCTGTGAGCTAAGGAGACAATAGGCAGCTTTAGACAATATGACGATGCGCGGCAGTGCAGCACGTAGAGTCTTGCCCTCCTTGGCAGACTGGCTGGGCCACCGAAATGTCTGGGATGCAGAGGATGAGGACGAGAACTTAGAAGTGGTGCTGCTTGCCATCTGGTTGCCCAGAGAGTCGCATTCTTGTTTCAGAGTCTCCCCAGATGTAAAGCCAGGGTAAGTTCCTTCATCCACTGAACTATGGGCTACATGCTGAAAGTTAAGGGATGCTGGTTGTTTCTGAGACTTGTCTGCAGCACTGGAGGAGCTCACACCATTTTCAGCTAAAGAACCTGGTAGGAAAAAACAGGAAATAAAAGGAAACAATCAAGCCCCAAAAACACCCAGACAACCTCATAAGAAGGGATCCTGGTTTTCTCTGTTTAAAAATTACAAACACTCTGGTATAAAAAAATAAATAAATCACACATTTTCTGAATAAACCCCCCCCAAATCCACAATTAAAATGAAACCCCACTATACATATATAGGTATCAGTTGAACACAATGTTTTATTGATATATTTGCAATTTTAAAGCATTTTGGAATCCTACCAGTGTCACTATAATAAATAAAATAAGTACCTATACATTTTAGTATTTGATTTTGGGGTTTTTTTATCATTGAAAAATCACAGCTCCCTCTAACCCCTTCTAGGATGGAGGTCCAGGCCCATCACTCCCCACCCCCAACCCCGCTGGTGCCCCTCACTTCTCACCTCCCTACAGGGGACTCAATCCCTCCCGTCCCCTCCCTTCCCCTCCCACCCTTCCTGACTTACCTATGGGAACTGCTCTCTCCAGGCTCCCTGGCAGCCATGTGCTTGTGTGTGCATGCATGTGCACATAGTGCCCCCAGCCTGACAGCTTTTTCCCGCTCCCCCCAGCCCCCTTGCAGGCTGGAGCTCTGCCAGCCTGCACAGAGTTCCTTGCAAAAGTGGCAAATCCGTGCATCTCTCCATTAAAATTAAAA